ATGTAATGGAACCGACACGGGAACAAGCTATCCTAGATCTGGTCCTGTGTTATGAGACAGGAATAATTAATGACCTCATAGTTAGGGATCCTCTTGGAAGGAGTGATCACAGTATGGTTGAATTTAGAATACAGATGGAGACTGTGAAGATAAAATCCAATACCAGGGTCCTGTGCTTGAACAAGGGGAACTACAATAGAATGAGGGAGGACTTGGCTAAAGTAAACTGGAAACAAAGATTTTATGGTGGGACAGTTGACGAGCAGTGGAGGACTTTCAAAGCAATCTTTCAAAGTGCTCAGCAAAAGTATATTCCAATGAAAAGGAAGGACTGTAAGAAAAGGGGTAATCTGCCATGGGTGTCTAAAGAAATAAGGGAGGCTATCAAATTGAAAGAGAAGGCATACAAAGTGGCCAAAAACAGCATGAAACTAGGAGATTGGGAAAACTTTAAAGATCAACAGAAAGCCACAAAAACAGCTATAAGGGAAAGTGAGATAGAACATGAGAAAAAAACTAGCACAGAATATAAAGACAGATAGGAAAAGTTTCTATAAATATATAAAACGAAAGAGTGGCTGAAGTAAACGTTGGCCCTTTAGAGCATGAGAAGGGGAATTTAGTTATGGGATATGATGAAATGGCCGAGGCATTGAACAGGTATTTTGTATCGGTCTTCACAGTGGAGGACACTAATAACATGCCAGTAATTGACAAAGAGATGAAGGTAGGTGAGGACCTGGAAACAATCATAATTACGGAAGAGGTAGTGTTGGGCAAGCTAATGGAGCTAAGGATTGATAAGTCTCCTGGCCCTGATGGAATGCATCCCAGGGTACTAAAAGAGATGGCGGGAGAAATAGCAGGTGCACTGGCGGTAATTTTCCAAAATTCGCTGGACTCTGGGGCAGTCCCAGCAGATTGGAAAACAGCAAATGTGACGCCACTGTTTAAAAAGGGAAGTAGACAAAAGGTGGGGAATTATAGACCGGTTAGCTTACCCTCTGCAGTGGGGAAGATGCTGAAGTCTATTATCAAGGAAGAAATAGCAAGGCATCTTGATAGAAATTGTCCCGTTGGGCAGACGCAGCATGGGTTCATGAAGGGCAGGTCATGTTTGACAAATCTTTTGGAATTCTACGAAGACATTACGAGCGAGGTGGACAATGGGGACCCAGTGGATGTGGTGTACCTAGACTTCCAAAAGGCCTTTGACAAGGTGCCGCACAAGAGGCTACTGCATAAGATAAGAATGCACAGCATTAAGGGTAAAGTATTAGTATGGATAGAGGATTGGTTGACTAACAGGAAGCAAAGAGTGGGGATAAATGAGTGCTATTCTAGCTGGCAGTCAGTGACTAGTGGTGTGCCTCAGGGATCGGTGTTGGGACCGCAATTATTTACAATTTATATAGATGATTTGGAGTTAGGGACCACGTGTAGGGTGTCAAAGTTTGCAGATGACACTAAGATGAGTGGCAAAGCAAAGTGTGCAGAGGACCGTGAAACTTTGCAGAGGAACATAGATACATTGAATGAGTGGGCAAAGGTCTGGCAGACGGAATACAATGTAAATAAATGTGAAGTCATACATTTTGGTAGGAGTAATAGTAAAAAGGATTATTATTTGAATGGTAAAAAGTTGCAGCATGCTGCTATGCAGAGGGACCTGGGTGTCCTTGTGCATGAATCACAGAAGGTAGGTCTGCAGGTACAACAAGTAATTAGGAAGGCAAATGGAATTTTGTCCTTCATCCCTAAAGGGATTGAAATAAAAAGCAGAGAGGTTATGTTGCAGCTGTAGAAGGTGCTGGTGAGGCCACACCTGGAGTACCGCGTGCAGTTTTGGTCTCCTTACTTGAGAAAGGATGTATTGGCACTGGAGGGGGTGCAAAGGAGGTTCACTAGATTGATTCCGGAGTTGAGGGGGTTGGCTTATGAGGAGAGACTGAGTAGATTGGGATTATATTCATTGGAATTCAGAAGATTGAGGGGGGATCTTATAGAAACATATAAAATTATGAAGGGAACAGATAAGATAGAAGTAGAGAGGATGTTTCCACTGGCAGGTGAAGCTAGGACAAGAGGGCATAGCCTCAAGATTAGAGGGAGCAGATTTAGGACTGAAGTGAGAAGGAATTTCTTCACCCAGAGGGTTGTTAATCTATGGAATTCCTTGCCCAGTGAAGTAGTTGACACTACTTCAGTAAGTGCTTTTTAAAAAAAAAGGTAGATTTTTTTTGAACAATAAAGGAATTAAGGGATACGGTGAGAATGTGGGTAAGTGGATCAGAGTCCACGAAAGGATCAGCCATGATCTTATTGAATGGCGGAGCAGGCTCGAAGGGCCAGACGGGCTACTCCTGCTCCTAGTTCTTACGTTCTTATGTTCTTATCTTATGGAGATAAAAAAATTTGTCTCATCAATCCATTCAGAGATCTTACTACACCCCTGGAACAGGTGAGACTTGATCCCAGGACTCCTAGTTTAAAGGTAAGAAAACTGCCATCGTGCCACAAAAACCAGTTGGACAGGCTAGGTGTGTATGTAATTGGGTTTAGAAGAGCAAGAGGTAACTTGATTGAAACATGGATGATCCTGAGTGATTTTGACAAGGAAGATGCAGAATGAATGTCGGAGAACACAGAACCAGGAGTCATTGCTTCAAAATCAGGGGTCACGCATTTAAAACAGAGCTGAAGCTTTCTTTTCTCCTTTCAAAAGGATCACAAATCTTTGGGATTATCTTCCTGGAAAAGTGGCAGAAGCAGGCATTCTGAATATTTTTAATGACAGAGATAGATACATTTCTGGTAAGCAGGAAGATATAATGTCATTAGAGGTCGGTAGGAATGCAAATTTGGGATAACAATCAGACCAGCCATGATTTTATTGAACAGTGGAGCAGGTTAAATGTGGGATAAATGACCCACTCCTGCTCCAAGTTAGTTTGTTCTGGATCAAATAAAGAAGGATGGCAACTTATCAGCCAGTGCAAATACAAAGGGCCATGTCTCCCTTCCGCGTTTTAAGTTTCAATGATTCACAAGTTCTACTCCAAACACAACAAATTCTGAAAACACAGTAAAATTAGTACATTTCAACATAAATTTAATCAGCATTAAGATTTTAAAAAATGAGTCATACAAATTAAATAATTTTACAAGTATACTCTCAGATTGAAAACAGATGAAATTTTAGTTTTCTCACCCCAGAATTAACATGAAGCTGTCTTGGAAGGTTTAGATGCGCATAAGCACCTAAGAGTGGTAATTAACATCTAATTAGTTATTTGTTCACAAGCAATGAATTTGTCATCTGTAAAAATAGCTACAAATACCTGTAGTGCATTTGATTACCGTTTTAAGAATCAACTGCTGGACCAAAGCTGCCACGCAAACCACTTTGAAAAGAAAGCGTTGGAATTATCTCACCTATAACTAATTAACTCTGACCAAATACAATCAGGACATAAATAACGGTTATTTGGAAATCTGTTTCCTTTCCAAGCTATCAGTGCAGAAATACCAAGTCAATGGCTGCTTTCAGTGAACAGCAGCCATCACATAAGATTTTCTTACCTTTCCTATTGCTTTGATTTAATTCCACTTTATGTTCCCTGCATTGGTAATCTTGGCTGAATGGATAAAGCCTACATTTTAAGAGAGGTTCATTCTCTGAAAGGAGGCATCAAATGATAAGCCCACTCTGAACTAGTCAATTAGATAATAGGATTCCTGCACATTACCTAGCCTCACAGTACCTCGTTACCTCACCTTAGTTGACACTTACCTAAATCAGTGTTTGGACCTGCCAGAAGCTGTCTGAATTTTTCTAGTCGAAACATTTCTCTTTCTGTCATCAAAGGAGCATCAGAGGTATTCTGGTCTGTAATTCTTGCTACCAATGGAATTGTTGATCCAGAAGGAACAGACTGCGGTCTCTGAAGAGGAGTCTTCTCAAAATTATCTAAACCTGTAAATTACACACACTAGATTATAACCACAGAATTACTGTATTTGAAATGTTACAAATAAATCAACACAACATGAAATTGACTCAAACAAGATTTCAACACTCCATTGTTCTTTGCATCAAAATGGAAACATTTACAGTCACACAATCGAATATTAAGAATGGCACGCAACAGCATTTTTCATCAGCATTGAGACTTTCAGGGACAGACTACACACATGCTGTTGTTCAACTCAAATTATTCAGATGGTATTACTAGTGTCAATTAGTGCATGTTATGACACCATCACACCCAGTTAGAATGGCAATGATGGGAGAACTAACATTTCAATCAGACTGCTCCGCTTAATATACTGATTTAATACATGCAACTTGCATGCATCTGCCTTCTACTTAACGTGCTATACGAGACAAACTATTCTTTTAATGGGCAGAAATTACTATATTTTCTGTTTCTCATCAACACATTGTAAATAATCTGTAAGTATGCTGTCTGCATTCAAATACATGTTCCAAGTGCTGCAGGAAGTCCTCCTCCTCCAATTCACTGACAGTGGCATGAAGACACTGCTCAATGAAATAACGTGACCTGGATATTTGCACGGCAAACATATCTAGACAGGAAGTACTCTACCTTTTTCTGTTACTCTGGTATTATTTTCCCACATTTTGAAGATATTTGTGTCAACACGATCACAGATAATATGTTTAGATAAATTGTGTAGGACAATGCCATTTCAGGACAAATGCATCAAATTTCTAAATTCAATGATTGTACCATGATAAACTGTATTAACAAAATTTTGCACAAGGCCAGAGAAAATACTAGAATGCCGAACAGATCAGAGTGTGAAACATTTTTCCAACTGTACCTTTTATATTTTAGTCACACTTTAAATTAAAGCAAACAAAAGGGAAATCACAGAATGGCAATGATACCTTGCATTTATTCAAGTGATTGATTTGAGTAATGAACAGATTTTGTACTGCAACCCTAGAAAATTACTTTAAAAGTTCAGAAAAAAATTCAAGGTTGCTATTTCTCACAACCAGGTGCACTTAAAACTACATAATTCTCAAAAGTATATGATATTGTTTTGCAGCTAAATGAAGTACAATTAAAAAATCACTACTTTCAGGTAACGATTAAGGCCATCTCTCTCCACTTTGCTTGTTTTCAAACCATACATATTGATGGCGACTACCTCAGCACTTAATGTTGCTGAATCCAATACAGGAGGCCAGCGCGACCTCTGCCTCCCAACAGCAGCATTTTCCACGAGACACAACGTAAATGCAACAATTGTCACACCTCTCTGTGCTAATACACCAGAAATCAAGTTTTGCTATTCCCACAGCTGACACAGAAGCTAAAAAATTTTTATCGAAGTGCGCAAAATCCGAAATTTACTTCTCAGATGGACCCAGGCTAACAGAAAACACCGACCATGTTTCGGTACTCAACAAGAACCACAATTTATTACAAATAAGTAAATTCTAACCACAGGTCACTGACTCTGAATTGCTGGCATCCTGATCTACCAGTTAAAATTCTAACTCCTTTCTAAAACTTCTTGTACACACATATATTCAAAGACTAATAGATATTGGTATTATGAGTAAAGGGAAAGAAAACAAAAATCACTTTGGCTGCAGTCCACAGGGTTAATTGAAATGATAATTTTGTTTTGCTTTCATCAAGAAACTTCAACTGATTAGAAAAAGTCAGCAAGCATTTATAACAGGTCGATCACATCACATAACAAATGAAACAAAGGATTTTGATATTCTTCAAATTTCCATAAGACATGAGCATCACTGGCAAGGCCAGCATTTATTGCTCATCCCTGGCTGCCCTTGAGAAGGCAGCAGTGAGTTGCTTTCCTAGACTGAAGCAGTCCATGTTGTACTGCCACACTCAGTGCTGCTGGAAACAACCTCAAAGAATTTTGACCCAGCAACGAGGTAACAGATATATTTCCAAGTCAGAATAGAGAGACTTGGTAGGGTTGTAAATGGTGCCTTCCACCTGGTGCTCATTCTTCCGAATGTAACCCTCACATACTTTTGACGTGCAGTCAAAGAAATCTTCACAAGTTGCTACAGTGCATTAGATGATGCATACAGCTTCCAGTATTCTGTTTAGCAGAATTAATGGTTAAAGTCAAAAAGGGGACATCAATTAAATAAGCTGATTGGTCCAAGATGGTGTTCAGCCTCGAGTGCTGCTGAAGTTGTACTCATTCTGGCTAATGGAGAGCATGATGTCAGATTCCTAACTTTGGAAGGGAGAACACAAGAACAGGGTATCATTTGAATGGAGAAAAAATGCAACTGAAAGCTGTAACACAAAGGAGCTGGGGGCTACTTGTGCACAAAACAGTTAGAACACAGGTGCAGCAAATAAACAGGAAGATTAATGGAATGCTCATCCATATTTCATGGGGGTCAAGTATAAGAGTAGGGAAGCCTTACTGAAACCGGACAGGTTGCTGATGATAGCATATCTGGAGTACTGTGAGCAGTATTAGCTCGCTTATTAAAGGAAAGGTATCATTTCATTGGAGGCAGTTCAGAGAAGGTTCACAAGGATGATTCCTGGTATGGAGGGATTGTCCTATGGACAAAGACTAAACAGGGTAGGACTCTACTCATTGGAAATTACAAGAAGAGGAGATGACCTCATTGAAAATTACAGGATTGAGAGACTTGCCAGGGTAAAATCAGGTGATGAATTCTTTGCCCCAGGATATCCAACATCTGAACTGTTGCCATATTATTTACCTAACTGTTCCAGTTAAGTTTTTGGCCAATGCCATTCCTCAATGTTGATAATGGAAGAATTCCGCAACAGTAATGCTATTAAATGTTGTCATAAATGATCATTACCTGACATTTACATGGCACAAATGTTACTTACCACTTATTCACTCAAGCCTGAATGTCACCCAAGTCATCGCTGCAACTGGTCATGGGCTGCTTTCTTGAGGATAATATTTGAGGAAGTAATTGAAGTAGTAGACACAGAAAGGCCTGTGAACATTTTAGAAGGCATACACTAACATTCTACACAAGAGATGGTTTGCTAAAATTGAAGTTTATAGGACTGACAACTAATTATTGACCTGATTAGAACATTGCTGAGATGGTAGAGAGATAATGGTAATGTAATCAAATTGGGAGGAACTGACTGCTGACAGCCCGCAAGGGCTTATGCTCTTATTTATTAATGACTTAGCTTGCACAATAGGAAGCCACATACGCAGGTTTGTGAATGTACTGTAGATTTGCAGAACAGCACAGGTGTATAAAACTACAAGATTTTTAGTTTTTTTCCCCATTTGCTTAATCTGTCAGGTGGATTTCAGTCCAAGTTAACAAGGTCATCCAAAATGCAGAAAATGAGGAAGAGTTTTGCAGTCTCTGTACACTGATCACTCTAGGACGAAAATTATAAACAGGCAAATGGAATGTCACCCTTTCTAAATAGATGGATAGAATTACAAGAAAAGACTTTGCTGCACCTATACCAAGTCCTGAGTAACAGAAGTACTGTTGACAGTACAATAAGCAACAATTCACTAGAATACTACCAAAGCTCCAAGAGTTAAATTGAGAAGAGATTTTACATTAACTAGGCAGATAGTTCTCATAAGTTAAGGTATGATTTAATCAACGATTTAGAATTTTGAATGGAAACAAGGGGACAAAGAAAACATCTTTCACCAATGGATAAAGATTTGAGGATACACAAGCATATTCTTAAATTATGAGCCAGACCAGTCGGGATACACATTAGAAAACACAACTCAAAGGATGGTATAAATATGTAATTCTTGACCACAATAAGCAGCAGATACCAGGTCAATTAATTTCAAATCGGAGTTCAATCGATGTTTGCTATCAGAAGATACAGGGCATAGAGAGTCTAAAAAACATGGATAACTTTAGGGTAGAAATAATCCATATCCTTATTGAATGACAGAAGTGGCCAAAATTGATTCCTATTAAATCGCTGAATAACATAGTTTGGAAGGGGGTTCTTGGTTCATCAAGTCTGTGCTGACTCCAAGGAACAATCCAGTCAGTCCCATTATTCAGCATCCAACTCATTACCCAACCTATATCTCTGTAATTTTTATTCCAGGTTCTTATCCAAATCTCTTGTCAACAGCAGCAACAGATCTTTACAAGGTACTCCTGCTCCATATACAGTCTGAAGTAACGCACACTGTATCACCTGTGTTTGCCTCTCTTTCCAAAAGATAACCAAAAAGGCATGGTAAAAACAAAGCACAAGTTCAAACCAATTCAAAATCAAATAAACTCAGACAAGATAATTAAAATTGCGATCTGATACAAGGACCCATGTACACGCAAACGGTTTTAAACCTGTACAAACATATTCCATGTAGCATTCACACAATCACAGGAGGAAGAAATTTGAACTTGAGAAAGAATAGTGTGCTTGTTGATTGCATAATGCAGCATCATCGGGTTGGGTTATTAAATATTTGAAAGTACGCACAAAATTATCACAAATAAATGTATATGCAATAAAAATAGATGTAAAAAGCACTTAAATTTAGAAGTATTTCAAGATTTGTTCAAACATTTGAATTGTGCACATTTTTACATCAACTTTAGAAGATGAGTCACAATTTAGTTTACAAATTAGTTTACAAAGAACCAAGGAAATTCAAGCTATAATGATTGCAAATATCTGAGACAATAAAGGAAAAGGGCAATAATAGAAGTAAATCACATGATCTCACAGATCATTACTACTAGACCTAAAACGTGAAATAGGATGTGAAACTTCAGAAAATCAGAAGCTAATCAATACTTTCGTGTTAAATTTGTGGATTTTAAGCATTGCTGGGACTAAGGTGGTGTGATATTATAAACTTCAGAACTTTAACAACTGTTCCTAGATTAAAAGAACAAACATACACAAACCTTTACACGGAAAGAAGCAGCAATAAACAAATAATAATTGG